TTTGGCATTGAAAACTATTCTTCCCCTAGCTGGAATGTTTTCAGTGCTAACTTTTGTAATTTTTTCTGTTGTGAAACAACAGAATTTTGTTTCAGTTACTGTAGATGTTGTCTATTTACCTGTAGGATGACCTTTTAAAAAAATGGTTGTTAAGAGCATGTCTCTAAAAGCTTATCTATCAATGGTTGTTGTACATTACATCTTTATAAGAAGGGTTGAATCCAGGTTCCAGTTTAAAGGGCTGAAATTCAGTGTTGTAAATATTTATTTTGACTGGTGTTATTCTTTGATTTTCTGTAATATATTCTGTCTTGCCTGTGGTCTCAACATGTGTTTTACTGCTTTTTTTCAGGCTATTTTTTGTAGGATCTCGGGAAGGTCACCTTCCTGATCTGTTGTCTATGATCCACGTAAAGAGGTTCACACCTGTGCCAGCACTTCTCTTCAATGCAAGTTGTTACTTCTTTTCTTTTCAGCTGATTAGATGGGACACACAGCACAGCTTCCCTCAAAATGAAGCTTCAAAACATGGCTAGAAAAATGTACAAAAATATATATGTATAAAAATAGCATGAAAACAAGTATAAAAGAACTAGTCCATGTTCTAGTTCATGCTGAAATCAGAACATCAGTTTAGCAGAAGGCCATGCCATAAGAACTGTGTTCTGTATACCATGAATTACAATGGATTGCATTTCCAGCCAATTGAAACTGCAACTAATAATTGACATTATTGCATATAAAAGATTTCTGCTGCTCAAGACTAAGTAATTCTGAGAACCCAAAGCGCTTCTCTCATATCCTTATTGCATCTAAATGCAGTGCTGAGAAACCAAGTCCCCTGAAGCAGAATGTAATTTACTGTGATTCAGTCAATGAATTAAGACAACTTTTTCAGAACAAGAATATGAATTATTTCAAGGAAAATTTAAAAACATTCACAAGAGACAGAATATACTGTCATCAAGGTGATTGCTGAGGGAGTGATTTTTTGAGGCATAAAATTACGCCAAACACCAAGGAGTAGAAGAGGTTACTTAAAGGCAAAAACCAGCATAAATAGTAAATTTCAAACTTTTGTGTTTAGATTCTTACTCTTGTTCTTTTCTGACAGTGTTTTATGACCCTTATTTACCTGTGTGTGGAAGATGTCTTCCAGCTAATTAATTACTTCAGCTTCAGTTACTGGTTTTTTGTTGGTCTGTCTATTGCTGGGCAGTTATATCTACGTTGGAAAGAACCAGATCGGCCAAGACCTCTTAAGGTAATACTTATTACACAGTTGTTTAAAAGCCCCGCCTTCCATGTCATGTAAAAGTACTGTCTAAAATCTGGACCAGAAATGTTAATTCTAAAGGTTACAGATTGATCAGGACATAAAGCATGGTTTCCATTTGATGTTGTACTGTGAAAGTTAGCTTGTCTGCTAGGTAAGAACAAGAGATTGTTGTGTCAGTATACCCTATTATGTGCTAGTTCAGTAAGTACCCCTTCTGTCTGCCCACAGGAGAGTGTCTCAATAGCCTAAGAGAGTAGTTAGCCTTTTATCTAGCAGCAGCAATCTCTGATTGGAAATGCTCAAGTTAAGTAACTCTGTGGACCACATTTAGCTTCAATGATACATGATCCTCTAATAACCTTCACATACTTTAAGTTGATACTATACTCAAAAAAGTCAGTAATTCTTGTTTCCCACGTTTTACTGGTTTTGTCTAAAAACACTTCATGCCACTATGCACTTTCTGTCAGCGCAGCAGACTTACCATGCTTGATTACTTCTACAATTTTTAGCAGCAGTTCTGTTAAGAATAGTTTTGGAATTTGCTTATGGTCCTACATAGCCAGATATATGAGAGGAAGAGCTGAGAATTTCACAAACTGGGTTTCCGAGAGAAGAGTCTGTATCATAATGTTTTAACTATAGACAATAAATATTTCATTAACCTTGTGTTCTCTTTTTTCTGTCTGCAGCTGAGTCTGGCTTTCCCAATAATATTCTGTTTATGCACAGTATTTCTGGTGGTAGTGCCACTCTATAAAGACTTCGTAAATTCAGTGATTGGAATTGCCATTGGTTTATCTGGAATTCCATTCTTTTTCTTGGGAGTCTATTTACCTGCATCAAGGAGACCTCAATTTATTAACAAGATTATAGGTAAGTTTCTTTGTTAGCTGGAGATGTTGTTAGGAAAGAGGAAAAGTAAATAGATGACTCTTGGTCTGTTGATGGAAAGGTTTGTGGTGGGCTCACCCCAGCTGAATTCCCAGGGAGCGGCTGGCTCACCAACACCCTCGCAGCACGGGGGCTACAGAATAGGAGGAACAAAGGTGGGAAGACCTGTTGATCAAGTCAAAGAAAGTTTAGCAAGTGAAGAGGGGAAAAAACCCTGCTGCTGCAAGAGCAATCTCACAGGCAGCCCAGTGTGCAGCCAGTCTCCAGCTGTATGGAAAGACATTCCCTCAGGCAAACACTTCTTGCTCAACCCGTTTCTATTGCTGAGCATGACATCAGATAGCATGAAATAGCCCTTTGCATAGTTTTGGTGAGCTGTTCTGGCCATCTTCCTGCCAAACTTCCTGCCCTCTCCCATCCTGCTGGCTGCAGGAGAGCAAAGAGGAAAGAAAACAAGCCTGGATACTGTGCAAACACTGTTCAGCAATAGCCAAAACACCAGAAAAAAAGTCTTTATTTTAACCAAGATTGATGACTGTAAAAAGTGTGAAACATTCTTGGTAGCACAAACTGTCCAGCTTTACTGAATCAGTTATTTGAAGATAGATTTTATATCAATAAAGAATAGAATTTTGCCTTCTGTTGAATTACAGCAGTTAAATTACACAAATACAATTTTTTCTCCATCAGTGCTGTTTTGTTATTGTTACTGTCAGACAGCCATGAGGGATGTGGTAAGGAAGGTTTATAGCAGAACCTTACCCTGAAAGCAGGATGTGGTGCTGCAGTAGCAGAATACATGTAAATACTCAGTAATCTTGTAGCTTTTCCTGTGTTCTGTTAGTTTTACTTTTTTTTATTCCATCAATTTTACACTCTTAATTATAGAGAAAAAATACTTTGGTTACTTGGCAAGGTGCCTAAGAAGCAAAACACCCTAGGATATTTACAGAACAGCTTAAGATACTATCTGTTAAATAAAAAATGAGTGGGACAGTTATTGTATTAACTTCAATTGTTTGTTTCCCTAAAGAGCAGACAGCATTCCTGACAGCTTTCATTAGTCAGATGTGTTTTGTAATTAGAGGTGAGATATGTGGCTGTTGTTCTTATCTATCTCCAATTTCTGTGCAGATGTCGTCACACGAAACATGCAGCTGCTCTGTTACTGTGTTTTAACAGAGATGGACCCAAATGAAGAAAAGAAGTTAGAAAACAAATCAAACTAAAGTTTAAAGCCATTACATGAAACAGGAGGGAGAATAAAGAAATTACACCAACGAAAGGGAAGAGCTAGAACTGGAAGACACAGAAAAACTGTGGTGGTCTTTCAGAAATGCTGAAAATATTCTTACTTGCAGATGGATTCCAACATGGATCATGCCCTTGTGACATCCTAAAATGTGGCATGTTTTCAGGGCAGGTTTTCATGGGATAATGATTACCTACTCATTACCTGCTCACACAAGCAGTGTGTCAATACTGTTTCTTCTTCAGAATTGGTACGAAAATGATAAGAGCTAATGGATCAAATTAGATTTCTGCAGAACCAGGTGGTGAAGTAGTGCATTATTAAGTTAGACTAAACCCCACTTTGACTCCAAAGACCAACTCATTTCCAGCTTAATTCTGATGGATGTTTGCATGAAATGATTTGCTGTACTCTCAGTTCTTATCCCAGAAAAAAACTGATCACAACAAACACTTCATTGGTTTTTCTTCCCCAATGATAAGTTCTGCTCCATTATTTATAGACTGAGCCAACCTTTCTCCCTTCAAGACTTTATTCTGTATGCTGTATGAAAATGTATCTGACTGTGGCAAGGATTTAATCAGCAAAGCACCTTGGCACTAAAGATTTGATTAATTGATTTTTACTTGTTATCTTGTTAGTACTTTGTCAATTTCTGCTAGGTTTTATGAAACTTCCAAAATTAAAGTGTTCAGTTTGAAGCCTGTGTTTGTTTGTGAACTGTTTCAGTGAAGACACAGTAGGTGAGTTACCTCAGCAGTCATAAAATTCCCTTTATAAATTTCACTGCTCTTCACTAGAAAGTGACCATCTAAAACCTCCCAGAAACCACTTTATTTTTACTTCCTTCTATAGCAGAATTTCTGTGGCAGACACTAGATCTTGACAGCTAAGTAGCAGGGAATAAAACTAGAAATAAAAACAGAAGTAAAAGGTACTACTGCAGCACAGACATGCTAATTCATAGTCTATGTAATTCAAAGCTGTAAGCCTAAAATCAGGACAGTTTTGATACTGAATTTTGGTGCAGCAAGAGGCTGCAAGAAGCCAGCCTGTTTGTCTTGCAAAGCGAGATGTACTTCTAAAACATACCTGAGATTTTTACCTTAATTCAGAATGTCTATCTCGGTTGACCTGAGTTTGGCCACATGTATGGTTTTGTGCATTTAAGTTGAACTAAATCTTGTAGTTACAAGATTATGGCTGAAGCAATACACACTTCAAAGGGTGCACCACAGTTGCATCAGTGACTTGAATAATAGTGAGGATATTTGGATTTTTGCATTGCCATGCTTTCTCTGAAGCAAACAAAAATACCTCTCCTCCACTACTTTGCCATTACCAGTCAAAACTGATCTGCCTAAGTACTGCTGCAGCCTCCAGTTCAAGAATGACATTGGCCAGCTAAGAGCTAATCCTATTAGCCATTTTTTACAAACTCAAATAGGAGTGTGCTGAAATACTTTGTGTCCAAGCAAGTACAATGAAATTGTTTTAAAGATGTACAAATGCAAGTTAAAAGGGTGACCTAGGTCCAGCTGTACCAACTTCTGTGATCTTTATAAGAGTAAAGAGAACTTGGTCAAAAATAATTTATTTACAATTTAAATGCACATTGTTCTACTTCAACAGTAAAACTACTGGGGAGAGTAATGGACAGGTCAAGGCATTTCATATGCTCAAAACACTTGTGAAGAAAGTCACTTGACACTTCAGAACAAATGAAGTAGAAAGCAGTAGGACAGGGTACCTTTTTCCAGGACTTCCACTTGCCATCAGGGTAGACACATCAATCTTCTTGTGAAACCTGACTTATTAGTCATGACCAGAAGGGCTGCTGCCAACAGTACCTCCATATCTGTGTATTTGTTACAGGTACAAACTCTTAGGCATACAGCTTTGGGAAAACAAAAATAAATAAAAGGTCCCTTTACAATCTCAACACATGCAATGAGTGGAAAATTCTATTTAAAAGCCTAGAGCATCCTGTGCTTGGAAAAAAAATTTGTGTTGTCAAGGGGCCACAGACACGCCCATCTGTTTAAAATCCACCAGCTGAAGTTGGCTGCTTGGATAGTACATTCTCCTACAGCAGCAGCTGTTCACCTTTAGTACACATTTAATGTCCAAAACCAGGTTGTTAGTCAGAACCCAAATCTTCAATCTCATCATATCCAAATTCCTGCAGAACCTCCTGTCGATATTTATCCCATGTTCTTCTCCTGTAACATTGGTCCTCATCACTGAAGCTCTCTTCAGAGTCTGTAGAGAAAGCATCAACACTTCTAGATTATCCCTTCTTTTTACTAGAAAAATCAAGTTAATCAGACTAGTTTAAGCTTCTTGAGAAACTAACAAAGTCTGAACAACTTATGTACAAGCTGAGGTTTGAATTGTTCTTGAAGTCTGGGGTAGGGACTTCAGAAGGCAGAGGCACTGTTTCACAAGCATGTGGACCCAAGTCATGGATTCCTTCTCTAAGCAAGCAAACCTTTGCAATTGCAGCAGCCTCAATTTGACTTCCCAATTTTGTCTTTTCAAAAACACTAATTTCTCTTCTAGTTCCAAGAAAGAAAATCCTCCTCTATGCAGATTTCACCATTATAAGAGCAGAATACTACCCCAGCAGTGCTCAGTTCAGTTGCTTTTTTAGGGATAGCATGTAAAAAAGAGGGGATGTATACACACACAGCAAGAAAGCAAATGGCATTTATGACAGGTGTACCTTTTTCTCTATCTTCCTCAGGTAAGAACTCATCTTCTTCAGGATAATCATTACGCCAGTTACTTTCATCATTTTCATCATCTTCATCTTCATATACTTCCTCTGGACCAGGATCATCATTCACCTGCATGCCAACACAAAACATAATGCTAAATATATTTGTAGTGAATGTTAAGTGGGTTTCCATCCACCTGTGCAATACTGTACAGATCAGAAAGAGCCATGAAATACTTATTGATGGTTGGCAGAAGGAATTCTGCAGTGACACAGGGCACACTGTAGAAGAATTTGAGTTGTCACTGCATTCACCATAATGCTTCAGATCTGTTTTAGGTGAAAAATCATTGAAGTCACCCCTGCACATATTCCACTCCAGCATTTCAATATTAATGTCTAACTTAATCCTACTCACTTCAGCAGAAGTGAAACAGATCAAGGAAGAGAGAAAGTAGTTACAAGCTCCCAGTATACAAGTTTGTTGATCACAGGAACTATACAACACAAGACTACACCTTACATTGAACTTCCTTTTCCACAGTCACTGAAGAACAGTTTATTATGAAAAATATCTCATATGAAGATTAAAGTCAAGTCCCCAAATACTGAAAAAGTTGTGCATCCCCCCTGCTTGCTCTTCATTCAGTCATAGTTACAATGACATTTTAATGGCTACCTCCTAATCACAAGCAAGACATAAATTACTCAAGTTTACATTCCTGTGCCAAAATTTAACTGACAGTTTGAAACCAGACAGATTCTTCTCAGTACATGAGCACCATCCCTTCCATTTTGTCATGTCCTTGGACCTGCAGGAACATGGGACTGATAGTTAGAAAAGGTCTAACACAGAAGTCACTGAGCATACATGTAGTGTCTTTCTTAAAGCACCTTTCTTGGCATGGCAGCTTTTAATAGGAGGACCTTAAACATCTTTTATTTGTGATCTTTTGAGTTGAGCGAGATTGATTTTCCACACCCTTACCCATTCATATTCTTCTCTATAGGGCTGTACAGAAAGGATATTTTCAATCCAATCAGGGGCTGATGTTTCCTTATAGTAGATGTCATAAACATACTCATCATCTTTGTCACCATGTTCTTTTTTACCATCTTCAGAAACATTTAAACGCTCACGGATCATCTCTACTGCATTGCAGAGAATTGCATCTGGATCAGTCTTCTGCTGAGAAAAAATGAAAAACGTGTATTTCCACTAAAGTCATGCAAAGTCTTATTTACAGCAAATAGTTTTCAGATTAAAAAAGAGTTTATGCACCAGACCAGGGCAAAGAAAAAATAAGGTGGTACAATCCCTTCCTCAAGCAGCAGCTCCACACACTGTCTGTTTGAACATTAGTGCACTTAGGATCCTCATTAAACATTACAACTTGCGATCTAGTTAAAGCTCCCATTAAATAGAATACTTACAGTGCAAGCAAACTCCCACAGCAATCTGCCCACACATACCACTCAACAGCGATACCAAAGTACTTCAAGCACACTAAGTTCACAGCTGACCTGTGGGTTTGCAGTGGTTACGCTGGAATCTCCTACTGTCTCCTCTTCTTGTACAATATCAAACAGCTGGAATTTCCCACAGCATTCTGAACTCGTATTGACAGCACCACTCTCCTCTGGTGAAGCATCTTGCTGTGTTTCAGACTCTGACCTGTCCCCGTGGGGCGCAGCCTTGCTGTGCGTGGCAGGCGCAGCCGTGTCAGGGCAGTCGGGCCGGTGGCCGGACACCACTCGGTACCGGTTCTCCTTCCTTTTTGCCTGCTTGGCGGAACGGAGCTCCTGAAGGATTCGCTGAGCGCTTCCCAAAGAGGGGTGCAGGCTTTGAGCTGCCTTGTCTCGTGAGATGGCATCTTTAACATACTTCTGAACTGATTCGTTCTGGGAAAAACAAACAGAAAGGAGGAGGAATATAAAGATAACATCATCATGGCAAGTCATACTGCTTCCTAGAAGGGATGAAGAACTGCATTACCATTAATCCCAACAACATTCAAGTAACTTCTACTATTACTTTAAGCAACATAACAATCATAATATTCTCTTGTTATGAGAGAAGGAAAGTACAAGATATAGAACAGAAATCCTGTTTCAATTTAAACAACTTTGTGGTACAGAATAGCTCTCCAATCAAAAACACATGCCTTTGGAAGACTGCAACAGACCTAAATTTAGGGCATAATACCCTTTACAATGTCCTGAGCAGACCATTTCCTACGACAGACCAGTCTTATTCGATAGAAAAGGCTGGATGGTGGATGGTAGTTGTTATCCTTGTAAGGCTGAGCTTCAGCATCTTACACAGCAGAAACTGAAGCTTCACTTGTTGACTGTTCTGTAGTTTGCAAGTGAAGAACAGTGTCTAAGTGTAGAAAAGCGAGTGCTGAGCACAGCTTGTCCCGGAGCTGTGCTGTGGCCCGTAGCTCTGCTCCTGCCCGGCCCGCGGCCGTCACAGCGCAGGAGGAGCCGCCTGGCCGTGGTTACCGGGACAGGAGGCGCTGCCCGGGGCCGGGCCATTCTCCAGACCACCGCATCCACGGGGGAGCCTGAAACACCCGCGAGGAGCAACCAGAGAGAGCCGCTGCTTTCCGAACCCCTCCAGGATCACCGTCCGGCCTCCTCGCCCCGCCCGGCCTGCCCCGATACCTTGGAGGACACGGTGGCCACCAGCTTGAAGAGGTCGGTCCCCACGGGCTCGGCCCGGCGCCGCTTGCAGGCGAGGAGCAGCGCCTCGGCCGGCTCCGGGCCGCCGCGCTTCCGCCGCACGCGCAGCACGGCCGCGCCCGCCATGGCGCCCGCGGGAGGGGCAGCGGCGCCCGCGCAGCGCCGCCCTCGCTCGCGCGGGGCGCGCCGGGCCGGGGCTCGGGCACTGCGGGGAGGGGCTGCCCGCGGTGCGGGGGGAGGCACTCGCGGTGTCCGGGGTAGGTACACGCAGGGTCCGGGGTAGGTACGTGCGGCTTGCGGAGCTGCTGGCCTGGGGCTCAGAGGAGGGACCAGCCCGCGGCTTCTCGGGCCCGCTGCGCTGGTTCCGGGCGGCGGAGAACGTTCCGGCCGTGGCCCCTCGCGGCTCGTTCGTGAGGCGGGGAAGGTGCGGGCCTTCCCCGGGTTTACAGGTCCCCCCTCAGGCAGGCTCTGGGGACTCCGGGAGAGGCGCCGCCGCCGGCCCGACGTGCTCGCTCACGGGATGTTCTCCCGTGAGGATTCACTGCTATCTTTCCTGCGCTGTGTTCTCTGGGGTTACACCTAGCTGGTCTTCACGGTCCCCTTTCAGTCTAGGACTGGGTGACGGATTTTAGCTTAAAACGTCCTTATGAAAAAAGCATAAAGCGGTCACCAGTACTTCTTGCCAAGGCAGATGTAGTGGGGGAAATGTGCAAGAGCTAAAGTGATGCTTGTTGCGTTTACTAAAAGTTTTATGGTTGGTTTGGATATTTTTCACAGCTGGTATTTGGTGTATTATATTGAAGCGAAAGCCAAGCTGCACACAATACATAAATAATACAATACGAATTGAGATCGATCATGAAGATTTTTTGTGGAAGAGCCAATCCAACCACTGGTTCGATGGAGTGGTTAGAAGAGGGTGAGGACTATGACTATCACCAGGAGATTGCAAGGTAGGCCTGGAAAAGTAGCTTGTTTTTCTGTTAAAAGACACCGAAAAATGAGCAAATTCAACTTTTTTTAAATGGCAATTTGGAGATCTGTCTTTGTAGAAGTTCCAAGGGCTCAAGGTGAGCAGACTGCAGAATCATCTAAATGTCGGTAAATGTGCCCAGTGTTTTATGGGCAGAGCTGCCAATGTAAAATTTTGGAAATGACTCTCCAAGTACTTACCTTCTAAATTTTTTAAAATGTTTTCTGTTGGGCTAATCCTAATACTGACAGTGACTGAGTTGGAACAAAATGCATTGACTAAATTTCTTTTAAACGCCAGTGCAGCATATAACTGCCAGTTGTCTGTTCCTGCTCTAGCTTTTTAAGAGCTTAGTGTAATAGCCAGAGAAGTTGGGATTTTGGGCTATTTTTGAATATTGCAACCCATGAAGAAAATGGGAATCAAAGAGGTTTAAGTCTTTAAAACTTCTCTCTCTTTCTGAAAAATAGGTCATTAGTAGCCTGTCTTTCGTTGCTGTGTATGACTACATCTGTCTCAAGTGCTGCTTCACAGCTGTTTGTCCATAAGTCTGTACCTTGGGTCCATTGCTGTGGAGAGGATTTGTTCCAGTGGTTCATGAGTTGATTTATATGCTGATGGCCAGGTCTCTGCCATTACATTATCTCTCAGGCTGGAGAAACACTTTAGGTCCTCATAGAATGTGTCAGTTGTTTGTGCATTTGTGGGCCACAGTTGCTTTGTATAATGGAGTATTTTAACTAGAATATCGTTTATTGCAGGTCACGCTATGCAGATATGCTTCATGATAAGGACAGGGTAAGTATAGAAGCAAAACCCTTTTGAATGGGGATAAAAGAGCCATTGCATTTCTTGTGGATAGCTGTCACTGTGGATTATATGGGTTTATCTGAAAGATTAAATGATCACATTTTTGTACTCTGTAAGGTAGCAGACCTGCTCTTAGATCAACAGATGCCTTCTTACATCTGACTTAAGTGTTCTGTTGTTTACCTCAGAACATTTTTATATTCAGTAGCCAATTTTGCTGTTCTGTGTTTGACATTTTTGAAAGAGAGCTCATTAGATGAAATTTCAAAAGCTGTAAAAGTGAAGCCGGGCTTCTTAGTTTTTATAGGAGTGTAAGTCAAGTCTGTTCTTCTGTGGTATTTCTACAGTATGTACAGGCATGATGAAGTCTGGAGTGAATAGTATCACATTTGGAAATCATATGTATTTTATCAATGGCTGATTGACCAAAGGTAATGTGAACATTGGGATAAATATTGATGTACTTTAAACAGACTGATCCTGCCAGATGCAGTTGTTACTGCTGGAGATGGCTTTGGTGTGACTGTTTGGCATAAAGAGTGTCTGTAGGCCTTTTTCTGGTTATAAACTCACAGTCAAAGAATGCAAGATTTCTGTGCAAAACTTAAAACCATAAATGGATAAAAGATTGCTGATTTTTTTTTCCCTTTTCCACAGAATGTGAAGTACTACCAAGGTATTAGTGCTGCAGTGAGCAGAGTAAAAGAGAGAGGTGAGAAAGCAATTGTGCTGGACATAGGGACTGGCACAGGGCTCCTGTCCATGATGGCAGCTTCAGCTGGGGCAGATTTCTGCTATGCCATTGAGGTGAGCATTTGTTAGGGGTTGCAGATATTCAACATGTTCTTTGTGATGCTCTTATTTTCAGGCTGTGTACTATCTCTGTTATTTTTGTTCTGAATGAAACAGACATTCTCTTCACAGTTGCACTGTTAATACAAGCAGTTTTTTGGCATACTTCAGTGACAATTTCAGTGCTGGTTGTTTTGGTTTCATTGACATAGTGTCTTGAGCACATGTAAGTCTTTAGGGGCTTCTGTTGATGCATTTATATATATCTTTATTTTTACAAAGTCATGAGTTTGTTTAATGTAAATGCTACAATATTAATATGTATTCTTGTGTTTCTAAAGTTAAATTGGAGTAGCTTTTGGAGGCAGCTGATAACTCTAACAGTGGAGCTCTGAATTTTTCAAGTGAGGCTCGTTGCCTTGTTTCATGGTAGTGAACTTGAAATACAGGAAAAGATACAGAAGATGTTAATTTTTTTTTCAGAACTAAATATATTGTATATTGTGTTGGTGCCCTTCCAGTTTTGAAAGCTGATTTGAGGGGTACCATTTTGTTAAACTCTTGCTGTTCATAGGTGTTCAAGCCCATGGCTAATGCTGCTGTGAAGATAGTGGAGAAAAATGGTTTTTCAGACAAGATCAAAGTAATCAACAAGCATTCCACTGAAGTCACAGTTGGCCCAGGTGAGAAAAATAGGCTAGGCTTAAAAAAATAGTACCTGAAAACCACAAAGGAATGTGTCGTACTCCTATTTCTTACACATTTTTTAATTAAAACAAGTGCTTCAAGAACACTGAGGGAGCTGGGGGGCGTTCAGCTCAGAGAAGAAGAGGCTCAGAGGAGACCTTATCTCTACAACTGCCTGAGAGGAGGTTGTAGCCAGGTGAGGGTTGGCCTCTTCTCCCAGGTGACAAGTGACAGTATGACAGGAAATGTTCTCAAGTTATGCTGGGAAAGGTTTAGATTGGAGAATAGGATTTTTTTTTTTTTCACAGAAAGGGGTGTAAAGCATTGAAAAGACTGCCTGGGGAAAGGTGGAGTCACCATCCCTGGAAATGTTAAAAAACGTGTAGATATGGCACCTGAGGACATGGTTTAATGGTGAACACGGTGATGGTGCTGAGTTAGTGGCTGGACTTGATCTTAATGGTCTTCTTCAATCTTAAAGATTCTGTGATACTTTACATTCTAGAAAATAACACTGGAAATCTACTTTGAAAGAAAGTGTTCTGGTAATATCTCAGTAGCAATTTGTATTTCAAATGCAAAGCAATTTCCAGTCTTCAGGAGACTCTCTAGCAGGAATAAGTTTTCTGGTTGCTTGTGAAATCAAGATAGCATCTTGAAAGACTAACATAGAGATTTAACATTACAGTATTAATTTGTGTATTTTAGATGGAGATATGCAGTGTCGGGCAAACATCCTGGTAACAGAATTATTTGATACAGAACTGATTGGAGAAGGAGCTTTACCAACCTATGAGCACGCACACAAATATCTTGTACAGGTAAGAAAATAGGAACTGTGTCACATCTATCTATCTAGTATAGAAATTTGTCTGCCTTTTTAAAGTAGGATAGAGATTATACAGAACTTTGGCTTCTGTATCCCTTGGTAAATACACCATCAACTCTGCAAGTTTCTTATTCAGTCGATAATTTATTAGGTTCATTCCTAGAATAAAGCTATTTGAGTTCATATTGTAAATCACAGGCATGGAAATTGCACCTACTTGCTTTGTGTTGAAACCAATAACTTGGTCGTTAACAAATGTCTTTTAGAAAGGCATCCAGTTCTGATGTGAAGCTCTCCTTAATAACAGCTTTGTCCCAAGATAAAAATTCTCCTAAATTTAATGAACTTCACCTCCCAGGCACTGGTTCATTTTTGGTTGGTTTTTTTTTTTTGGTTTTTTTTTTCCCTATTGTGCTCTTACTGCTCCATATGCATGTGAAAATATTTTAAACGCTGTACTTAAATAATATCCTTTTTTTTGGACTTATAATCTATGGGTATAATTTTAAGGCTTTTTCTTTTATATTTTCTAATATCTTCCCTTCATTAAAATGTGGATTGCAGAACCTTATTTAGGTTTCCAGATTTCCATTCACTAGTTTAAAAGGCACCATATAAAGACAAGAGCACTCTATAACTTTGTACTACTCTCCATATAGAACTCTAAATTGAAATTCATCTTTTTTTCTGTAAAAGCATTGTTTTTGGACTTCATGGTTGGATCTTAGTTCATAGTGGGATTTTTACCACAATTTTAATGTTTTCCACTCTTTAAGCATGGATACAAAGTTGTCCTTGCATAAATATTTGAGCCATTATTTTTCTTATTTTCTCATTGCAGCCAGCAACTTTCTTTTGTGTTTGGTAGCATAGTAGTTTCCTTCCTTTAGAAGCTCAGGTTATATCTCTTATTCCAGAACAAGAATGGAAATGCAAGTTTAACTGAGGCTAATAAACTGATACTGTTACATGGTTGATGAGGTAATCTGACCTTGGTGAGCCACACTGAACAGGATAGATATATGTAGTCCATGTCACAGAGAGACAGATTGTTCTGGTGTTACAAAAGTCTCTAAAATAACTTGGATTTTAGATTTCAGAGCTCCCAGTCCAACTTTACTTTTAAATTTCAATTGATTTAATTCTCATTCATGTTGATAAGTCAAACTTGTTGACTGTGTTTACCCGTTGTTTTGAACACTCAGGAGGGATGTGAGGCAGTGCCTCACAGGGCAACAGTGTATGTCCAGCTAGTGGAATCCAGAAGAATGTGGTCCTGGAAGAAACTGTTTCCTGTTCATGTTGAAGCAGAGGATGGTGAAAAAATTCTTTTTCCACCTTCAGAAATGGAGAACTGTCCAGGTGTTCCTTCTGTTTGTGATATCCAGCTGAACCAGATGCCTTCAAGTGACTTCAGTACTCTTAGTGATGTGGTGACAATGTTCAGGTAAGGGAGATGTTGTTTTGTTAAAACAAAGTTATCCTGTTATGCCTTTCATATAAACTGTGCATTCAGCTTAAGAAGCCAGGGAGAATTTCTGAAGAATTCTTTTTACAGTTTTCTTTCTTTTTACGATTTTCATGCTTCCCTGCAGTGTGGATTTCAGTAAGCCAGTACAGAGTGCTTCTACCTACTATAGAGTGCAGCTGGAGCCTGTGAAATCTGGCAAGGCACAAATTGTACTTTCCTGGTGGGATATTGACATGGACCCCTCTGGGATGATAAATTGCACAATGGCTCCCTACTGGGTAAAACCCACTTCTGCTTTGCAGGTAAGATACTGAGCCTTTAGATACCATTGTCAGATGATTGGGCATTTCTTTGGAGTACTGGGGGGTTTAAGCAGCTCTGACTAAAATTTCTTAGGAAATTTGCTAATATTTAATGTATTGGAAGATGCTAAATAATCAAATTGTAGAAATTTTGGCTATGGTATGTGCCCATTTTAGGTTTTCTTTGATGTTAAACATTAAGAGTAATCTTTTTATGTAAAACTTAAAGACGGAAGCTGTCTTCCTGATATTGTTACTTATTTTTTGTTCAAGAAATAAAGATTTCCAAATCTTTTTTCTTAACTAGTCTCTATCCCTGGTTAAAATATTAGACTGTGGTTTGCTTCAATGTAGTTCTATTAAATTTCCAAATAAGTGTTATGTTTATAATAGTATATTTATCCTCTCATTAAAAAAGGAGGCTGATGTAGGAGAGTGCTGGATTGATATGAAAAAATACAGAAATATTATCACTATTAAGTCAGATTCCTGTATTTTTGTGTGGATGTATTTACCAGTAGGATGAACTTAGTCAAAATGATTGATTGTCTACACTTAGCATGTTTGAGAATAAAATCTGAAATTATCAAATTGGAGGTGTTCAGTCAGTGTGGAATGACTGTTCAGCATAGGCTATTTGCAGTGCAAAAGCCAGCTTTTTGAAGCACAAAGTGGTTGTGCTGTGATCAGAGTGACACTAAATGACATAATTCTGGGTGCTTGAGGCTGTCAGCAGTTCGATACAGGTTTCTAACACAAGTGAACTGTGGAGGTGAAACAGCATTAATAAATTGCAAAGCAATTTTGGGTTGTTTTTCATTTGGTTGAAATAGAAGCCTGGCCAGTGAGGAAGCTAATGGTCTCAGGCTTATTCCGTTGCAAAAAGTCAATATAATTCAATATGTGATATTGGTCTTTATTCAGCTTTGCTAACTTGAACAAGATTCTTTAAATTAATCATGCATTTTCAAAGTTGTGCCCATTCTTCCTAGTTGATTTCCTGCTATTTGTTTATTTTCCATTTGCTATTTATGAGTGAGTGCCTGAGGTTTTGTCTATCAACCCTTTTCAGTGGAGAGATCACTGGATGCAGTGTGTTTATTTTCTTCCACATGAGGAGCCAGTTCTGCAGGGTGAGAAGTTGTACCTGACTGCCTGTCGTGACGAGTACTCTGTGTGGTACAACCTGCAGAAAGCCAGGTAACAATCTCTGTGTGAAAAAGGCTGCTATCTTACTCCAAGCTGGAGTAAGAGCTGCTCTAAGAGCATCTCCTTTTGTAGAAGAGCAAGATGAGAACCTAAAGAGTAGAAAAATAATAAAGGCTGCTTCATGGGCAATGCACAGGTGGAAAATACACATTAAGCATAAAAACTCAGTTGGACTGCAAGCTCCTGCCTCCTGGTTGCATTCTCTGACAAAGAAGCATAAAACACTCATGCTTTATTCCTGGTAATCCTAAAATACAGCACAGCTGAAGTGACATACAGGTAAAGAAGTGAAATAATTGCAATTCTGTTTCCATTTTCTATTTTCCTAGTCAGCACTGTCCTTTCGAGGCTACTGCCTTTTGCTCAGATTAAAAAGAGCTTAATCGTGTTGGTTGCACTGACAATAGCAGCAAACATTTTTAAAACTAGTGCTAGGTTTAAAATGTCAGAATTTGCTGTGCCTTTTTTACTTAGGAATCCAAAATCCAAACAAGTAACTGTTTGCTGAAAGGGCAAAGCCTAAAGTACCTAACCATCAGAGTTAGTGGGAAAGTGGGGGATGGTTCTTGGTTTTGTTTTTGAAAGAAGGTGAAAATTCTTTTTGACCTCTCTTCATTTGGAAATGCAGAATTACAGAAATGTAAATTAGAGGACATAGTCTCAAGCTGCATCAAAGGAAATATAGGTTGGATATTAGGAAAAGGTTTTTCACTGAAAGAATAGTAAAATACTGGAATGGTCTGCCCGGGAAGGTGGTGGAGTCACTGTCCCTGGATGTGTTTAAATAAAGACCAGATGTGGCGCTCAGGGACATGGTCTGGTTGTGGTGCTTGGGCATGGGTTGGACTTGATGATCTTGGAGATCTCTTCCAACCTGGTGATTCTGTTGTTGAATTCTGTTGTTGTCTCTGGAGAACCAGTAACTTCGAAAAAGTGACAGCAGAGTTCATATTCATTACTGTGCATATCAGCCAAAGTGCAATAAATGTGCCTGTTTGCAAAAACGTGATACTGATACTGTAGTTGACACTACATTAAATTTGTTTACAGAGAAGGGGAGAATAAAGCAGATGGAGAGGAGCATAAAGCAGATGTTTGTGTGGAGAGTCCTGTCTGTAGGTGTCGCGCTCATCTGCTTTGGAACAGGCCCCGCTTTGGGGAGCTGAATGATCAGAACCGAACACTCCAATACATCAAGTCCTTGAGGAAGGTGAGTGCTTGTTGCCTGCAGATTTTATTGCCTTCTCTGATGGATGCACATACTGGTTTATTTGGAGTAATTTTTTATGAAATTTGTTTGTCCCCTGCAAAGGACTTTGATCACATAGTATATTTTTCTTCCATCACCAGATGGAAGTTATACTTTTGTCTTGAAAACTTTAGTATTAAAATTTTAAATGGTAAGCAGCCATTTTTGCATAGAATTTGTAGCAGTTCTATGTGTTTGTTAGACATAATATTGGTAGTTGAATAAAGACATCCAATACATTTTTGAGCAAACTTTGTCAGACCTAAGCCAAGGGCATTATGTGACAATTTTATTACTATTATTGGATATGAAAGTGTATAAAGTGTGGAGAACTTTTCCCTCTGGAATAAGAATAACAATGACTGTTTATTCTCTATAGGTTCTGAAAACAGATAGTGTTTGCCTTTGTATCAGTGATGGCAGTCTGCTGCCTGTGCTGGCTCACTATCTTGGAGCAAAGCAGGTACAGTACTTTGTCCTGTTTTTCAGATCTTTCCATTTTATCTTAGTATTTTTCTCTGATGTATTTAATTTCCAGCTCATTATTTAACTATTTGCGGTGCCTCTTCAGGGACAAGTGGGGAATAGGCTCACATTGTGTTGAAGGGAAGGTTAAAATCATCTCTGGTCAAGCTGAAGTCTCAGAAGATAATAATTACCAGATCTGACATTTACTAATGTGTAGTTTTGAGGGAAAGTGCTGTTCCTCATTCCCCATTTCTTCCTGTTTGCCATCTCGTATCTTGTTTTTTTTAAAACACTCTTTCTATGGACCTAAATGTCTGGCAGGGTATTTTTCTTTCATGTTTTCAATTCCATAATTACATTTATTACCTGGTCTCAAGTAGAAGATCTGTAAGAGCCAAGATCTGTAGGAAACAGTCAGAATACTGAGTCTGTGTGTAACAGAGAACTGAGAGCTGCCTGGCTGTCTCACATACATAAATGCCCTACTTGATGGGGGGCTGTTTAAACTAAAATCTGTTAGAGTTGAACTGAATATCAGAATGTGTAATGTAATATAATCATGAGGAATGTAGCATATTGCCTAACAGTTCATCAGTTTTGAATAAAAACTAATTTTTTTTTCTTACTGCAAAAGGCTTCTGAGCACTTTCCAGCTAATACAGTCCAGTCATGTTAACCAGTAATTTCAGTTTGGCACACTGGTAATATGCTTGCATTTGTTCATGGGTAAATATGTGCTTAGAGCAAGTGTTAATGTGCTGTGTGCAACTTAAAGATGGAAAACAAATATTTGCATTCTGTTTAGTTTGTCTTTTTTCTTGTATAGCTGTGAAAATAGAGTTATTTAGCCTGTAGTTTGGGGAGTGTTTTGTTGTTAAAAAAGTTCATTGCAGTGGGCTCTGGAATAGATGCATGGTTCTTATGAGTTGTGCTCACTGGGGCGTCAAAATGTTCCTTCATTCTTCAGTTCAGAATAAAATATATTCTTTTAGTTAAAAACTATAAAGCTTATTTGACTAACTGTGTATTTTCATTAGGTGTTTACATTAGAAAACTCTGGTGTATCCTGTTCTGTCATGGAAAAAGTGAGTATTCCATTTCCTGTTGAAGCTGGACCTCTCCTTGCCTCTTGGCTTGTCTGCTTGAGCTGCTGCTCTGCTGCTGCCATTGCCTTGGTGATAAAAAGCCAGGCTGTTGTTTCTGAGGATTAGTGAGAGCATCCCAAAGCTTGCACCAGCCCTGTCTGGCAAGCAGCATCCAGCAGTTGTGTCTTCCAGCTGAGCCAGGTTGGGAATGCCTGCTCTGCTGCTTGCTCTGCTGTGGGGAAGGGCATGGAAGGCTCTGCCAGTGGAGTGGAGGCTGTTCAGGAGAGGCAGCTGGTGCCTAAGAAGTGACTGGAAGCAGCTTCCAGGAGTCATCAGTGAGCAGTGGCTCCTTTAGTTGACACTGTATTTGAAAGAGATCTGGCTCAGCCTGTGGCTCAGAAGTGCAAAACCAGGAACGGTGAGAAAATGAGGACTCAAACTTGGTCTCCAAGGAAAGGCAAAATATTTTGTGTATTCATAGGTGACATGATTCTTACCTTCCTTGATTATCCTTCTCGTATGCTTCAAAGTATAAATGAATGAAGGTGAGGCAACTTTCGTGTTATCTGCCTTTTTATACTGATAATTTAAAGAATACTGAGGGCACATGATTTAGTTCCCTAGGTGTGACACATTGGCTCTAGGTGCTTGCAGCCTTCAGGAATAGACTTGTATCATCCTCATGAGTTATGACAGGCAGTTTTATTAAAATTTCTTGTGGCTGCTGGATCTTTTCTAATTTATTTTCAGTAAAATTATTATTTTGGTCTCAACTCTGGCTTTTGATAAAGACAATGTGTTACTTTTTGATTTTAGTTTTTTAAAGCAAATCATCTTGAAGATAAAATTAAAATAATAGAAGCACGGCCTGAGTTGCTGAAGCCTTCTCATTTGGAAGATAAAAAGGTATGTTACAGTTGTCCATTATACTGAATTTCAGGGGTTGGTAGGAAGCAGAAGGTAAAAATGAATGGTAACCACAATGAATTCTGTTATATTCCAATTCATATAAAATGTAGTGAGTAAATGGTTCACACCATGTGCCACTAAAACTAAAGGAGACTGAAGGCTGTGGGAGGGTTGTTGTTTTGTTTTTGAAGTGTCTGACTTTCCCTGCTGCATAATTGCCCCAGCAGTTAAGGCAGTTTAGCTGGTTCTACAAGGCTGTAGCTCTCTCACTGGCCACTTGACAAGATTGCAATCTACTTGGAAGTAATAACATACTTCAAAACTTCAGAATTCTATAACTCATTACAAAGCCTTCCAAATTCAAACTACAGTATTTTCTCACAAACTTTGTTGTGGGAAAATTCAATATAAAATGTGGTAACTAAACCCACACAACAGTGCCCAGTATGCTGTATGTGCAGTGTACAGTAATTAAATCCCTGGGGAGCAGTAGAAGTTTTTATCTAGATGATTTTACTTAATACATTGTACTGGCAGCTATTGGAAAACCTAAACAGCCTGTGTTGTGAGTTGTTGTTCTTTATTATATGTCTTTTTATCTCTTCCCTTCTTTGCCAAGATTTCTGTCCTTGTGGGAGAGCCATTTTTCACGACAAGTTTGTTGCCATGGCATAACCTGTATTTCTGGTACGCCAGGACAGCTGTGAGCACTCACCTTGCCAGCAGTGTCACTGTCCTACCTCAGTCTGCTTCTTTGCACATGATGATTGTGGAGTTCCAGGTGAGATTGTTCAGATATTTACACAAATCCATTTAAGACTGAATACTCTACAACTTTATTGCATCTTAATACTGTCCAAATATTCTCTATCACCTGAGAAAAGAATATTTGGTATCTTGAAGTGTGAATCTTGCTATTTGAGCCATCTCTTGTCAGCATTTCAGCTCAAGTAATTTTGCCATTTAAAATGAAAGGGCTGCATGTTTTAAGATGCTTATTTAGATTAGAGATTGGTGAAGAATGTGATAGTTGTAGTTATTTATAAAATTAGATACTTTATTGTATAAATAATATATACATATATGTATAAACTAGATACTCTGCAACATATCACCCTCAGTTTTGAAATGAGGCTTTATAAGACTGCAGGCAGGATTCCTAATTGCATGTTGATTTTTTTAACTGAGGCTGTGCACAGTTCTGAATATGAGCACATCTTAGAAATACTTTGAGAAGTCATCTTTCAGATATTGCACAAAGTTATAAACATATTTTTTTCATTTATTGAGGACTTTGTAATAAAAGATTGTGAAGTGTTTACCTACCATGAAAATGGAAATTAAGTACTTATATCATTAATGTGCAGTAGCTTAAGTGAGGGAACTCTGTAGTCTGGCATTGTGTAAATAAATGTACATACTTGAAATAAAAATGCCTAGAATCTAATGAATTCTCACATAAACACAGCCTTCAGTTTATCTGTTAAAAATGCCAGGTCTTTTTTTGAGTTTTTGTGTCTGAGCCTTCTCTCCCTTAACAGTTTCTTTATTTGAATGTTTTTTAACCTTGTTCTCATACTAATGCCTTTGATTGGTGCATGTGTAAATGGATTTGTTCTTTTTCCCCTCTGGGCTAATCAACCGTGATGAACATTTTTCCAGTTTTCTGCAAAAATGTATGGAGTTTAAGTATATACTGAGTAAATAATATAAATCTGAATCCTGTAATAGGGAGCAGATATTTAAAGTGATCAGCAGTAATCAGATTGAAAGAAGCAGTAAATTTTAATTCCATGCTCTCTTATCTAGAGGATTTACTTCCCTAAAACTCAAAGCATTTTCTAAGGAAGTAAGCATTTTCCATGTTCTGGATGAGGAAACCAAAGCATGCAGAGTGATGACTGAAGATTATTCAGCAGTCAGCAGAATGCAGAGTAACATTCATGTCACCTAAACCTCAGTTTTACATTTTCATATACAGAGTTTGTTCAGAGATGATTCCACATAAAATTTTTGGTAGAACATTTAACTTGTATTTTGTTCCAGTAGGCTACCCCAAAGCTATTGTTTTAATTTTACATTATCTTCTTTCAGTGGTGAGTCTAGTCTAAAAGACTGGAATCTGTGGGATTTTAAAAATAACCTCTGCACTTACCAGACAGAAGTAATAGAGTATTGCATGGTCTCCTGCAGAACTGGTTCTAGGCTGTTCTGTCCTCTCAGAATGGATATGTCATCATGATTTAGAAATTAGCAAAACCTGGATCCAGGAGAAAAGAATTCATGGAACTACTTCAGTAATAAACTTGTTTCATCCATAATTGCATTTAGGGAGCAGGGTGCTGCCTGTCTGTTTTGGTAGTTCTGGATGTACCAGAGGCTCTTGATAGTGTAGTTTATGCTGTAGTCAGGCAGAAATTATAACAGTGTTTGTTTAAATGTACAGTAGTCCTGCTGCCAGCTTGTAAAGCAGGAACATTTGAGATTAAGCGTGACAATGAACAGGTAATAAAATTTATATATCCACAGCTAATGAATGTTTGTGTTCCAGTAAGAGACCATTAATGAGGTCTAAGAAAAGGCAAATGTTGAACAGTCAGGCTGTCCAGTGGATTGCTAAAGTCAATGGGATGCTTGGTATGAAGTGGCTAAAATGATCTCGCTCCACTTTGTGGGGGTAAAGTGTGGTTCCTTGGTAAGCTGTGAGATGTTTGATACTACTGGGAGCGCTTACCTGTGCTGGATAGGGAAAATGGAGGGGCTGTAAGGGTTAGATCTTGGCAAATCTATACCTGCTCTAAAGTACTACACTCAGGAATTGTAAGAAATGTTCTTTAGAGGAGTTGAAAACAGTGATTAAAGAATTAACTGGCTTAAAAACTTCTCCTAGATTATCTTCTGATTCTTGCAGTAGTTGTAATGGTTTAGCAATATATACATAGTATGTAGCTTGCTATCAAATGTCTAAGCTACAATTATTTCAAGATTTCCTGTTTCCTTTGACAAAGCCAAACAAAATCCTGTTGTTTTTTATAGGATTTATGGAGAATACGGAGTCCATGTGGCACCTGTGAAGGTTTTGATGTCCAGACTATGGATGATATGATTAAAGTAAGAAAAATAGTTTCAGCACAAATCTTAGCAAAACAAAAACCCAGTTTGTTTGCCTTAATAAAGTATTTAGTGACTGTTGAAAAACTTGTGTACTTGTGAGGCAGAGCATCACTGTTTGAGATTCATTTGTATCTGTTTCTAGAACTCTGCTCTGGATTAATTGTGGAGGGGTGCAGGCTGTTGTAGAGTGGAATTCATCACAAGAGAGAAGAAAATGTCAATGCTTTGTATTTTGAAAGTGCCCATTTCTGTTTCAGGGGCCCCAGTCACAGCCTTCAGTTTCACACATGTAGGACATTTTCTCCCTTGTGCCTAAGAAGTGCAGTCATGCCCTCTTGCAGCTTTATGGCTTAAATATCTTGGGTTTGCATTTCTGTTGTTTTCAGTTAATTTTATTCCTTCCTTTCTTCAGGATTCTCTGAATTTTAGGGAATCCAAGGAAGCAGAGCCTCACCCGCTGTGGGAGTATCCCTGCAAGTCGCTCTCAGACCCACAGGAAGTTTTGACCTTTGACTTCACAAAGGCTGTACCACAGCACTGTCTCAGCACAGAGGGCTCTGTAAAGCTCTTACGGTCAGTTTTCTCACTGCAGTAAATATTCCTGTCATCATCCATTTCTTTACCTCCTATTCAAACTCTTTAGAGGAGTTGAGTTTAGAGCTCCTTTAAGTGTATTACACTTAACTGGTGCAAATGTACTTGGCAGTTTTTAATAATGTGACCTAAGATTGTGGAAGTTGCTCTGACACAAGCTTCCTGTGGGTATTCACAGTAGGCTATAACAATCATACAATAATGTTAGATATTGTTAGATTAGATAATTTTCCTCTGTTTAAAAAAATAACATTTTACTGGTTCTCACCATGGTTTAAAACTTAAATAGATTAATTTATAGTTTAGAGAAAATAAAACAAAACATTACCTGGATTGTTTTGATGTTTCTGTTTGTTGCCTACTACTGAGTTCTTGCAGAAGAAGCTTCTACTTAGCTTGTCAAATTATTGTGCTTAAAAATTAATTAATTATTGTGTTTAATAGCTTTAAAATTATTGTATTAATAGCTTTTTATGTATATGCTATTCTTCCTTCTAACTATAATCCTGGCAGTCTTCATATTTTGCCACATCTTCTGAGATACTTTCCACTATAACTGTGAATTGTACTTAATTCTGTTTGAACTTGAAATGCTGATAAGAATTAAAAAACGAGAAAGTTTGATTTTTTAACTATCTGGAAACACTGTTGTGTTTCTCATTAAACAAAATTCAGGCTTTCATGGACTCCAGAGCCATCTGTGTGGGGTCTCTGTGCCTTTGCAGCAGTTGTGTTTACAGGCAGCACAGTGGCGTGGCCTCTGCTTCTTGTGGAGCAGGCACTTGAAGTGACACGGTGTGTGTGGTAAATATTTCCTCTAAATTCAGAGTCAATAGAAACTGAGGTCTCTAAAGGAAGTTCTCAGCGTATGCTGTGTAATTTATGCCATGTTATTCAGTGCTGGTTAAGTGGCTGTGCTGCTGAGCAGATGTACTTATGACATGTTCTCTTCCTTGCCTTTTTTTAGTTTTCATATCTGCAGATACTTTAAAATTTCTGCCCCCAATTACCAACTCAGTCAGCTGTTCAGCTGTCTTTCAAGGAAATAAATTGTTCATGCTTTTGCAGCTCTCACTTAAATATTAGTGCAGTGTTTAAGCTGCCAGGATTGTGTAAAGTAACAGGTTTTATCCTGCATCTCTCCCCAGGAAAGGAAAGAGCCACGGAGCAGTTCTGTGGATGGAATATCACCTTGCTGCTGATATCTCTGTTAGTACAGGACTGATGCAACTGCCAAATGAAAAGGTGTTTCTTCAATCCAATTTATTATGTCAAAGTCTCTAGGATTTTAGTTGGTCTCTGCTTGCCATGCTTGGGTTGTGTATGTCCAGTCACCCCAGGACAGTGTAGTACCCTTTCTAGCACCTTTTGAATACTGTGTCATCAGAATTACTAAAAATACCTGTTCATGTTTTTGTGGAGAGCAGGGGATGTACCTTAAAATGGGAGAGTTTGATTTGCATCCAAATGCTCCCTAGTTTGGAATCAAATTCAGAATTTAAATGGCATGCTAGGTCAAAGCAGAATTTTTTCATACAAATAACTTCATCTCAGTTTAACAAAAGCAAAAATTTGGAGAGGAAGGAGTACGTATTTTTAGTATTCTATCTCAATATTCTTCGACCAAATCCATTTTTAACTCAGTGACTTCAATGTGTGGTGTAGCAGATGGTATTTCCTGTTATGTGTTCCATAGTGGGGTGGAGGGCAGTATAAATGATAACTGTTGATCATTGTGTGCTTAGCAGGGAACAAGAACTCTTACTGCATTGTTACTGTATAATAATAATATGGTAGATTTTGACTGCTTTCACTTTTAACTCTCTCCTGTAGGAAAACTGTGAATGGAATCCGCACTGCAAGCAAGCTGTTTATTTCTTCAGCTCTGTTATTGAATCAGAAATTCTGTCAGACCCTACTGCTGTCACATATGCTATAAATTTTGACACAAAGACAGGAGAGATTGCCATGGATTTTAAGCTATTATAAAATACTTTTCTCTTGCTCATATTCCTAAATCATAATAAACATACAGTACTTTTTTTTGTACAGCAGAGGGTTTCTTTCATTGTGCTCAGAGAGCAAACTGTTCTTTAACATACTTCTAACCTTTTTGGGTTTGTTTTCAAAATACAGTTAGTGAGGTAGAGAGGAACCATTTCTCAGGAACAGATATTCTTGTCAGGGTTTATATACATATATACACATACTTTTCATCATCTCTTTCAGGGTTTTACGTACATAAGGAGGTACAAAACAGTTGACTTGATAATAGCAGCTGGTTATTGCATGGCATATCATTGGATGAGGACACCAGGCATTATCAGGCATAATCTGACATTAGAGAAAAGTGAGTTAAACATATCTCTTTCTAGGCTGTGCTCTTATCACCATAAAATGGGAAATAATCTCCAGACTGCACAAAAAGAAGTCCCATGTCAAATTTCATATGTATATTAGTACACTTAACAGGGAGAAAGAAACAGATTAGTTGTTCTCAGACTTGCCTAAGTTGTGGCTGATTCTAAGCTGAAATGGCCAGTGAATTAAACCGTGGTGCACTGATGGTGTAAATAATACCTGCCAGTTTGGCTAAGTTGTAAGGTGCTCTGCAGTAGTACATGTCCACTACTGAGGTTTTCTTAGTTGCTCTCCAGATCACATTGGCTGCAGTGGCATTGTGTGAAATGAGTTCTGCTTTAAATGAACAATCAATTGGTGTATCTGTTTTGTATGTGTGACCTGTTAAGGTTTTGATAGAAAATCAATGTCCTTGCCAGTCCCAAATTATGTCAGCCATCCACAGGGATAACAGTTACCAAAGCTACTCCTATTTCCTCTGAGCAGCAGCTTTAGCAAAGTGAAAGGAATATCATAAAGCCAGAAGCCTACCCTACTCTGCTTTCCTGGTCACCATAATACATCATTCTTGTGAGTAAAAATTCTTCCTTTTTTTTTTTCTTAAATGTGTGATCATATTTATAGACCCACAAGCCATCTGAAATATTCCTAAATTTTTAGATCCATTTTCCTGATGAACAGAAACCCTGCAGCTCCTCTTGAGGTCTATGAATTTCATTTTTCAAAACTGCACTTTTAAGATGCTTAACTTCAGTCTGTCATGTCTTACAGACTTTGCTGGAATATATAGGTTGCTGTTAATGAAACAGTTGTTTTAGTTTTGATACATGTGCCTAGCCCACAGAAAGTATGGTAGCAAATCTGTTTATTATGGGTTGTACACAGTATTGTGTAAAGGTTGTGAAGGGAACAATAATATGGCTGAGCCTTTAAAATAGTATAGACTTGGCCCTTTTTAAAAAAAAAAAAAAAAAGACACAGGCACAGTTGTGCAAGGCTGGAAAAGGCTGGCATTGTGCAGCTGCTCTGACTCCTGTGTCTGCCCTGAGAGAGAAAGCATGAGCTGCTATTCTGCAGTAGGAATAGCTTCTGGAAGGGCATGTAATTGCACAAGTCATTCTGGATCCAGAAAAAGAGTACTTAGAGCAATATATTAGAATTTATTTGTTTGAAAAAATAAGATAGGAAAAAGTCACAGCCAAATTCACAATATTTTATTGTGTAGTATTAATTTTCTCAAAGATAACTGTGTATTGATATTCCTGAATTGTACTTGCTAAGAAAAATACAACATAAATTTGTTAAATTGCCAAAGGGAAGAAATCCACACTGATGGGAATTTGTATTTTGTTATCAATGTTACTTACATTGAAGTTACATAGTCCCTGCAGTGGATATTAGGGATGGTGACTGAGGGGCATCCTTGTTAAATGCTTTTTGTGTTATGAGACCTGGGATTGTAGAGGTTCTCAGGGGTGGGTGCAGTGAAATGGAAGGGCAGAGGCTGGATGCAGTAGCAGCCATCTGCAGAACTCTGTTCCCAGGGCTGAGCTGTTTGCTGTGTGTATATAAAGAAGAACATCTTAAATTTCAGTACACCTGGAGCAGAAACTGCATTGCTGCTATCAAAATAAACCCACTAAGCTACCAAACCACTGGAAGGATGGAATGCTGAGCATATTTTAGCACCTGTGGGTTCCTTAGAGGAGCAAAATCTGATGGATATGCTCAGGACACCTTATGCATGTTCTAATTCACTGTGAATGTTACCAACATCACTGATGCTTGCTGATTTGGCTTGTGTATTTAGACTGGCACTGCAACTGCTTTAAGGATTTGGTTAAAATTGCTAGCAGCTGTTGAGGCAAGCTCTTGCCACAAGTGTGTATAATGAGGACTTTTTATTGTATGTATTGGTCTTCCTTGACTTACATGAATTCTTCAGGTTGGGCTTAAAAACCGAATGTGATCTGTAAATTGTTTGGAAAGACAGCTGCTTACAGAGGGACACTGGCCATTTCTTATATATGTGTGCAAGAACAAAATAAAAGACTGCTTCTATCTCTGTCCTCTTCCACAGAGTATTTTACTGCAGGCACGCACCTCAAAAAAGCCACATTACCCAGGAGCAGCAGTCAGCCTCCCATTTCTTCCCTGACCTGACAGAAGCATTGCAGTGATGTTCAGATTTGGAAGAGCTGCTGGCTATGGGCACCCTTATAAGCAGAGCAAGAATCCTATTTTCTCTTGGAAGGACCTTATTTGATGCTGCCACCACAGGCAATTTTTTTCCTAAATGACAACAGCTTTGATCCTGACTAGGCCTGCAGGCACAGATGCACATTCCAATAGAAACAGGTTCTTCTGCCAGCACTGAACTAACAGTATTACAGTTCAGATATTGCAATAGAGCCAGTGTATAGCTGGGTAGCTTTTTTAATGCAAGACACAGGTTTTAGTCAGGTATTAAAAGTCATAATAAACTACCAAGTATTGCCATTCACATTTAACTTCTCAATTTTGGCTTTACTGCAGAAGTAACTATTATGTAGTTCTGAATTGAAATAAAATTTTAAGAAGGTGTGGTTGTTACCACAGCACAACTCCACAAGAGGGTGCTGAGAACCCACTTCTAAATTTCTAGCACATTATAAATGAGGAAAATGCAGAGACTTGCAATGCAGCTATCTTGTGCAAATCACACTTGTGGTGTTAAGAGATACACATCCATGTGTGGAAGTGGGAAACTAGTGCAAAAAGTGGCAACTGCTAGTAAATCTAACCCAGACCTGCACCTGCTGTTAAAGCAGGCAGGCAACGAACTGCCTCCTGCTGAATACAGAGTGAATAGTACTCATTGGACAGTGAAGTTGTCTTGGCCCTAATGAAGGACAAGTCTTGCATTTTAAAGAGTGCTTTCTATATCACAGCAGCTGCAATATTTGTTCCTTTATTTGCAGAACTGGTACCTTTTGTCTGAAAACTGGGCAGTTCAAGGACTGAGATCCTGGAGCTTGCTTTTCTCCTTCATTAGTCCCTTTGAAACTGCACTGTGTGGGCTTCCTGCATTTAACAAGATAGAGGATGCAGTTCAGGACTAATTCATTTAGTCACTCATCTTTTGTATTCTATTTGTAGTTACAGCTGGTTGTTAGGGGGGGGAAGAGACTATTAAAGCTTCCTACTGTTGGATTTTTCCAGTGATGATTGTGAGCTGAATACAATGGGTGCTTGTGTTGTCATTCTACCTTATTGACTCTGATAGCATTGCAAAATATTAATTTGGCTTGGTGCTTAATCATTGTAATACTTCACATTTCCAGGCATTTAATGCAGGTTAGTGATTAAGATGCTTCTCAGAGAGGTATGTGTTGTCATCTCCGTTTTTCAGATGAGAAAAAAAAACTAAGTGTGGTTTGTGTGGGTGTGTGAGTGTTTCATCTGCCCCAGGCTCACTGAAAGATTAGAGCCTCAGAGCTAAAAATGACTTGCTCAAGGCCATGCAGAATAGACTAATCCCCTGACTCCCTAGCTCTGCTTTAATCATTTGCTTTCTTAGCACAGTGTGATTTCAGATGCAGCCTTGTGAGGTTTGACTGAGATGCAGCAGATACAGACTCAGAGGCAGTAAATCCTTGGATAGCTCAGTAATTAAAACCACCTGGGTTTTAACACAAATGTAAAATATATTTATATTATATAGAAGTTACATATTTAATATAAACATATATATTTGCAAAGCTATAGAGCATTGGTTTTGTTTTCAAAAGCTGTCATGAAGATGACCCACATTTTTCCCCCCCAGCAGGATTCTGTCTAGGATTTGAGAGCCCCGAAGATGCCTCTTTTGTGGACAAGGGCACTAATGAATGAATGAGAGCTGATGATCTTCCTGTCTGCCAAGGGGAAGCTCTGCATTTGCTGGTCTGGCTGCTCTTTACAGAAGTGTGGGCACAGTCCCAGGGTATCTTGGCCTTAAGTTACTCAAGACTGGCTGTGTTCCCTTTGGTTCTTCCTCAGGGTTTTGCTGAAGTGCAGCTGCATGACAAGCTGCAGCAGCCCCTTTGCTGTGGATTGCCTCTCAGTCCTGTCATTTTCCTCAGCCTCTGCTCCCTCTTGCTTGCACATCACTCCCTTGGGGAAATGATGTACTCATGCTTTGGGGGAAGGAGTGGGTGCTGCAGGTTACTGAGTGTGCTGCAGCTTCTGCAGGGTGGTGGATCCTGCTGTATCTGTCCTCACATAAGGTGCCTTCTGGCTTCCTGTTAGGGTATCTAAGAAACCAATTACTCACACTCCTGACAATCAGCAAATAATTCAAGCTGTGGCGATGAATGAGGTGGGAGGGAGAGACAAACAGCCTTCACTGCGGCACTCCAAAATGCCATATCCCTGCTCAGCTGCAGTGTTTCTAGGAATGGTTGGAGGGATCTGTGTATCTCATCTCGTGCCTGCCTGACAGGCAGCAGCAAAGTCACTTGTGCCCAGGGGCTGATGATAGAGGATGCGGCACCCTCACGTGGGGTGGAAAGGCTGGGAGTGCATCCCGAACTGGGAAGGAGCCGGCTGCTCTGCAGGACCAGCACCCAGGGGAACACTTGGCCAGGGCTGTCCCCAAGCTGTCATCGTGCCGTGGCGCCCCTTCCTGTCAGGCTCCTGAGGGGCTGAACTGCAGGGAGGGATGGACACGCTCTCCTTACCCCTCCCTGTGTGTCCCAGCGCCCTGGGCTGTCTCCTACCCAAAATAAGATGTGTCGGCTCCTGCTGCCAGCCCACAGGGAGAGAGCAGCTGGGCAAAAGCCTTGCTGTGTTTTGTGAGCAACTGTGGGACTTGAGAAATCAAAGTTCACGTGTTGACTTTATGCAGCTTACAGCTTGAGGGAACCAAGAACACACAGGGGTAACAAACTGGTGTGGAGAGAATATTCAAACCATAAAATTTTGCTTGCTGTTCTGCCACGTATTGTGGCATGCTGGGTACTGAGGGCCAAGGCAGTGACTTTAATGTTAATATTGACTGCTCATGTTCCTGCTGTTTTAAATCAGCACTGGTGTTTTCTGTCTCTTACCTCCTAAGTTGATGCTGTTCAAGAGTTTTCCATAATGCTTCTCATTGCCTACTTCTGTTGAGTAACAATGGTCTGTGGACTCCAACTCTAGGAAGTTCCATTCTGTCAGTGGAGTTTAGGTGATGGGTCCTTAAGTTCTCCTGTTGGCATTGCTTCTTCTTGAGCCTTGGCCTAAAGTCAGTGCCCATCTCTGCTTCCTGCAGTTCCTGTGTCCCTGTTGGCCAGACTGCTCCTGGGAGCAGAGCAGAGCAGAGCTGTCAGAGGCCAGTGGGAAAACAAGCCAGGAAGTCTCCCAGAATTAGAGACTTGAACCTCTCTTCAGCAAAAGCTCTTTCTGCCTAGCAGTACATTTCATCTAAAGTTTATGCCTCTGGAATTGATGCACAAAGCCAGTGCTTTATCTGAATGTACTGAGGAGGCCTTAGCTGTGGGTAGGTGTGGTACACAGTTCCAGCAGCTGTCCCATGCAGCCTGGGTGTCACTAGTGCACTAATCCTGGGTGTCCAGGACTGCATGCCAAAGGATGGAGGGACCTTACGGCCCTCTATTGAAAACTGTGCTGGCATATTGCATTATGATGGCTTAGTATGTGTTTCTGTTTTGTATGAAACTGTTAGGGAAACTGCATCTCTTCTCCTTCATGCATTAAATGTATTTCTTTACAGCTTTCAGGGGCTTAGATTCCTGCCCTGCCCTGGCCCTTCACTTTTTGCTAATACTGACTAGTGCTCAACAAAAACTAGCAGTTCCTTCTGTATTGCGTGGCAGAATAAATGAAATATGAAGTCAGCTTCTGTGTTTAATGTTAGGGTTTTATCTTTTCTTGCATTATCTTGACACATGCCCTGCAATGTACATGAAAAAAAAGTTTTCAAAAAGGGAAGAAGGAAGAGAAATATCTAGGAAAGACTATGTATTCATATTTCAATACAAAACAGTCTTTATGTCTGTTGTAGCAGGGTTCTCTGCTCCACAGGTTTCATTTAAATTTTGTGTATTTTCTTTTGTGTTTGTCACAGACACGAGGCACTTCAAGGCCAGTCTCATCTGTGTGCTGTGCTGCCAGGCTGAGGGGCTTGTTTCATATTCACAGATGACATGAAGGAAGCAGCAGGTAGAGGCACAAGCAGCATTTCCTTTCCAAAAGGGGCACCAGCACATCAGACCCTCTCAGCAGTGCTTCCCAAACCAGGTTAGTGCTCAGGCTGAGCTCCTGGTGCCCCGTTGTGGGTGTGTTAGTGTACAGAAACAGCTGGCAGTGTGTTCCTTGTTCCAGAGTGGCAGCACAGGTATCAGTGGGAGGTTTTGTTGAGGATGTGATGTGGCCCTTTTGTCCCACTCTCATTGAGGGCAGCCTCGATGGCAGATGTGTCCCCATTTAGAATGGTGCCATTTCTGTTGTGTCCCTGTGCCAGTCAGGCAGGCCCTGAATAAATACTGGGATTTTCTCACAGGAGATCATCTGTTCAGGTCAATGCAGTGCCTTACATCCAGTGCCAGCTTCCTGCTGCTTTCTTGGATGCTGCTGCCCGTATCCTTTTGCTTGCAGGGAGAATATTCCACTTGTGTCCCTGCCTCTAGCTGGGCATGAGATACACTGCTCCATTTTTTACTTCCCCTAGAAGCTGAGAGCTGTGACTCTCTTTTTCAGACAGTCTGTATTTGCATTCCCTGGGTTGGCTGGGCAACAGCTAATCAAATAATTACATTTAAAATAAGATTTAACAAAAAAAGCATGTCTAAAAATAAAGGCAAGGTGTAGTCATGCTTGTCACCAACAGAACTAGTCAGCAGTGTGTGTTCTGGGGAATGTTTCCTGAGCAATTAAGGGCCATTTAATCTTTCTTAATGTACCTAACTTTTTCGGTTGCGTTTTTAAAATTCTTTTTAGATGTTCTCCTATCTGTGCAGTACGTCTGCAGATCAAGTATCTCTTCCCATTCCTTTTCCTTCCATTCCCCTCTGCCCCCTGTGCT